TATGTGTATATATCGATACGCAAAATTTCGCATATTTTTCGACGAAATAGTTTATAATTAATTATACAAATCAATGCGACAATTTTAGTGTTTGTTACATAACGTATACTTGTAAGAATCATTAGTTCCTTTTCAATTTTCTTCGAAATGTTCAAAAGATCTGCTTTTTGAATAAATGTTTGTACTTTACCTTAAGATTCGCTAGTATAAATTAGTTTTCGAAAAATAACATGATGACAGATTGTGTCGTAAAAAGAGATTAAATTTATGCATTGGATTGGATTATTGTCTAAGAGACAGCTATCGTATCAAGCTATAATCACAGGAGGTACCCAACCTCCGAAACCACGCTCCAGTTCTTCAGCAACGGCTATTGTTAAACGATCTTGATGTAGGCCACTAACAACCTACAACACATAGAAATTATCAAACTACTCATCAGCAAGATTCTCATTTCCCCGTTTTAATTTTATTAATATTGATGCACAAGGTTTATACCTGTATACCAATAGGGAGTCCTTGTTTGTTCAAACCTAAGGGGCACGCAGTAGCAGGCAAGCCCAAAACATTAATAATACCAGTGTATGAAAAGTTGAATGGTTTAATTAGCGGTTCATGGTGCATTGGTGCTGCAGTTGGATGCGTTGGATATAGAAACACACCATCTTCGCCCAAGATGTCCTATTAAAAGAAAATCAATTAGAAGTGTATACTACGTACAAAAGGGAACAATGTATTAGCTTAGGAAAAAGAAAAAGTTTGGATATCTCTGGATACATGCTTGAACTTCAGTCACTCGTTTTTCGTCAACGAGTGAACACAACTACAATGTGAAAAAATATTTACAAAAACAATAACAGAGTTCTTTCACTATATGGATGGAAAAAAAGTTTCATTCTGCATGCAGAGCAATATTGTTTTTACTACTTATTAAAAGTAACTCGTGATACCGTGAAAGACAAACTGACTAGCATAGTCTGACCAATTTGCACGAGAAAGAAATCACGTCCATTTTAATAAAGAGTATTGTTCCGCAATGCAATAGTAAGAAAAGAGGACGAAGAAGGTAGGAGCCAATTCCAATCCTGATGGGTTACATTACAGGCACTTATCAATGTATAATATTGCATCGGCAGTTCATAAAAGTTAAAAAATTACTGATATAATTTACAAACACGAAGAGTTCACTACGAGGTTCTTACCTGAAATTCTCGACAAAGGTCTTTACTCTCTTGTATGAATTTTGTGTGCTTGTCGCTTCCGTGCTTCATAACGAATTTTTCGAATATGGCAGTAAGAAGAGATATCAACGTATGATTGCTCAAGAAGAACGTCCATTTTAAAAATTCCCACCATAAGTTTACATGACCAACTCTGTTCGATAATTCGTACCTGAAGTCTTTCTCGCCCTTACAGATCATATTAGCCATCCAGAGAGCAATGCTCTTTTTCATTTTTCTGATGTTGAGTTTAGTCGCTTTGATTTTATGAGCTTTCTCCAGGTATCGAACTATCTTCCTCATGGCTTCTCTTATCTCTGGCTCAACTGCCGACGTCAGAAATTGACCACCGTCATCTTCCATATAATAAAACTAAATTGAAATAGATATTTGTCACATACTACGTACGATCCATTCATTATTTTTCATTTAAGCACACCGTTCCTACCTTAAGCTTGGAAATGTCTACTTTCTGATCCAAACGCAAAAGATCCACGTTCTTGTGCGCAAGAATCTTCAAAGTAGGCAATAAGTCCTGCGCATATCTGCACATAGGGCCAATTGAGAGCAACCGGTCTTGGTCTTCGTTCTGTGCACTCGGATACTGACCGTCGTTCGAAACTACCCCGGTAGAAGGTTTGTGCCCGAATATTCCATTGAAATAGCTTGGTATACGAATCGAGCCGCCGATATCTGATCCTATCCCTAACGGCGAGCCAGCTGCTGCTTGTATACAACCTTCACCGCCGGAAGAACCTCCGACAATGTGCCTCGTATTGTAAGGATTTTTTGTAGTTCCGTATAAACAATTGGACGTTTCCCACCACATGGCCAATTCTGACACGTTCGTCGTGGCCAGAGGAATAGCTCCGGCAGCCCTCATTAACCTAATCACTTCTGCATCACGTTCAGAAACAGTGTTCTTGCGAACAATTAAACCAGCTGTTTGTTTCATTTTGGCTACTCCAATGCAGTCCTGTGACAGAATACAGAGAAAGAGAGAGAGAGCTTAGACATTTTGTATTAATATCTGAAACCATTGTATTATGTATTCTGTGAAATGAAGTTTACCTTTGTTGTGAAAGGCACTCCGAAAAAAGGTTTCTCTTTAGCTAATACTTGAGGAGACGGGGCATCCTCAGATTTCAAAAGTTCATCACACATCTTAGCTTCTTTGAGAGCATCCTCAAAACGATCTTCTACTACGCAATTTAGTATTGGTTGAATTTCCCTTATCCTATCTATGTATGACTGTACTACCTCTTCTGAAGTTAACTGTGAAATGTAATTGTCCGTTTATAGCAATTATGATTTACAGTTATTTACAAGCAGATCTAGTTTGTGTCAGGAGTAAAGATCAGGTTTACCTGTTTATTTCGAATTTTCAGTGCTAAAGTAGTCGCGTTATGTAGAAGCGTTAAATCTTTTATAGGTGGTTGAGATTCTGCAGGTCCCTTTAGAAACGCGGTGAACATACATATCTTTCTGGCAATGAATTCAACTAGCCGGTGAATTGCATTCAATACTTGTCCTTTAGACTGCATCTTCCTTTGATCCTTGTGTTGGGTTGACATCTATTTAGGAAAGAGACAAATGTTTTTACATTATAAATAATACGCGTAAAAAAATGCCGCTGAAAGAAAATTTTTTTCAATTTTTAAATATAAAAAGTTTAAAATCATATAATGCATCATTTTAAGACTAATAGAATCCATTTTCATTTTTTGCTTATAGCTTAGTTTTGAGAATTACGTTACGTTCGCATTGGCTAGCCTACCCAAACTTTTTGTTAAAGAAGAATATTATATAAAAAAGAAGCAGTAATTCTCAGTAAAACTGAGTGCTAGTATGACAATTTTGTGGATGGAGTTGGCATTTACGTTCGGCACAGGACGTGCTTGCTATTAAAATATTTTTACTCGAGGCGTGTCACGCATTTGTCGACGTTTTCATCAAATTTCCGGAGAGTTTAAAAAAATATACTATGAGAAGAACGGGGGAGAAAGAGGTTCACAACGATGTCTATTACGGTCGCCGTTGATTCTCCAGCGAATCGAATTCATTACAAGTTGTATAAATATCCCTGCCATTATATCGCTCGACGACCATTAAAAAAAGTCGTCGCTGTGTAATTTCATGCAAATTCGTCATAATTGGACATACAGATAATTGTACGTACAATTAAGTTGTTGTGACCTAACAATATCAAGAGAATTTCGCTCGAAGCAAGGATCGTTTCTTTATCGTCCCTTGCGATAAGATCCACGTTGTCGGCCTAATCACCTGGATCGTTATCTCTCTCTCTCTCTGTTTCTCTGTGTTTATACATCGCTCTGCCAATGTCGATTAATGGACTGACCTTGTGCAGCGAATTATCTCACTGTGTCAGCCCGCCGTGCGGGTTTTTATGGGGATAGCCGGTTCGGTTTATCGATTGACCGTGCGTACCATGAGAAAACGTCCGAGACGGGACTGAGGATTGAGCTAGTGGATGCGCGTCGACTTTCACATTTGAATGAATTCCTCGAAAGCGAACGAACAACAACCGGCTGCGCAGTAATTTTAGCGCGCTGACGGGCCCAATAATGATGTAATTGAGGTGTTACGCATCAAGGCTGCCAGCCACTAAGCCACGAGGAGTTTGACAATGTTCGTCGGGCCGGAAATCAACTTGCGCCGCATTTCAGGCCGGTCGGTCGGTCGGTTGGTTCTACGCCCGAGCGTTTTCCTCTCTTCTCGTTCGCGTACCATAAGGGAGAGGCTTCCGTTCCATTGACAAACGATATAGGAAAACTGACACAGATAGCTGCGTTATTAATTACGATCGTTATATGGTTCGTCGAACGAGGTTCGTGCTTTAGCTAATCGAGCACAGTCACGAAGTTACTCGCGCAACAGTGGCTACGTCTCTCTCTCTCTCTCTCTCTCTCTCT